GTATGACTGGCTGATGACGGCTAACAAGCCAGAAATGGCCATTCCGATCTCCTTTTGCTTTGTCAGATCCATTTTATCATATCATCATAGTCATTGTGTGACTGCCTGCGCGGGCTCTTATGTGAGCTCCAGGGTGAAAACAGAACGTAATTGTTCCATTACCACATTGGCGATGCCCACATATTCACGCCCCGGGATAATTAGACTCACCGGTAGGTATAGTAACGTGAAGTGTCGTCAGTTAGTCGACGCATACGATAACCACGTTTAAGATGAAGGCAACATTGTAAAACCTCTGAATGTGGTACAGTGCTTAACTTAGTTGTATTCAATATGAGAAAATGTAGCTGTCCAACGGGAAACCGAACTTCTCGGGAAAAAGTTAATCTTAGCGCTTGTTTTCTTTTTCGTCTGTCTTACCCTGATGAGCAAATAACAACGGTGATTTGTCCATATGTGAGAGCGATGACCAAGTGAACACTGAGATCCCCTTCGTAACACTTACCGAGTAGAAAATTTTCAACCATGTATATTCATCAGACCTGTGATTTTTCAAGTTTCTTTAATTCTAATACAAGATATATGAGATAACAAGGTTTCCACGGCCACTACTACCATGCAGTTTATGAGTTTCAAAAGTGATCCCCAAGAGAAGGCTTCGCAAGCACCATTGAACATATTTGGGGTTGTTGCAATCGCTGAAGATTTAAACCGTGCCTAAGTTCTTTTACTTTCCAGTGTCAAGTTAACTTGTGCGTCTTGTGGTGGCCACAAATTCACCAAGGTACCTTCCCTGTTTGATATTACAGACGATACTACGGGCGAACCGATACCAGATGCGTCCATAAATTGGGAGTTCGCGGATCTGGATCAAAATAAAATCAGCCCCATGCAGATAGCCCACGAAGTGACTACTGCTGGCAGCAAACGGATCAATTTCGTCAATCTTCGTCCAAATCCAAAGGCTGGTGGGCGGTGTACGATTAACATTGCAGGCAAAACTATGCTGAGCTCACCCTTCTTTGTCTTCCACGTAACTGACAGAGAAGATGGTAAGTACCGTCATCCTTGATAATAAAAGTTACGCCACAGCACTGCCCCAGTTTTTTCCTTAAATTCAAAATAACAGGGCATCTGTTTGGATAAAACACGCGGAAATTCTAATAATATATGAACAAACACTAAGCGCCCACCGAACTCAAATAACTAGTTGCATGTAGTCCCAAATGAAACAGTTGCATGACGCAAATAGTTGCGTGCCTTAAAAAATACACATATGTACAGTAGTGACTCTGTCACTCCTCCAATTTTTACTTGCAAATTTCATTCTATTTTTTACATCCGTCTGGTCTTCAGATGTTTTAATTTATTGAAGGCTGTTATTTCAGTAGATGTCTTAGAAACAGGAGTACTGGTAGTGCAAACTCCGCCACTCAGAACAGTACGGTCACATGGGCAGGCGTGCCGTAAGCCTATACTTATGTAGGTCAGCCGCTACCTAAACCGCATTATCCTCTATTTCAGAAGAACCGCCTATCAGTGGGTTGCCTAGCGGACCGGAGCAGATCTCGGTCAATGTTGTTGGCCTCGGT